CCCCCCCCGCTCCCCTCGCCACACGATTGACCGTGGTCTTCGGCCGCAGCCAGGACACGCAATTCAATTCAAGGACAAAAAAAACCATCGACGATGGGCCGATCTCTTCCCCCGCTCTTGGCGCAGGAAAGAAGCCGGCGGTCTTTTTTCCGAATTAGGGTTGGACACCAATCACGTGCAAGAAAATATACACATGACTCGACTATTCATCCTTTCATGGGCGATTCCTCTCCATCACTGTCGAGGCCGTCGCCGTCGCCGCCGCCGCCGCCGCCGCCTCCAGCGAGCTGCTCCCAATTGAGTCGGCAGATGTCGCGGAACTCGCGGAACTCCTCCATCAAGTGCTGGACCTCCTCGCGTGCGGCAAACAGCTGGCGCTGGGACTCGGCGAAGTCTGCCCGCGCGCGGTCCAACTCGGCCCGGAGCTGTTTGCTCTCATCGGCCCTGCGGGTCAAGGCAGGCAGCCGAGGCAATCGCACCCAGGGAACATACCGGGCAGGAAGCAAGTGGAGCATGTGAGAAAGGGAACATGGGAAGGCCCATCGAGAAGAGAGGAGGCCCGGATGTCGGAGCGCACCGTGCGGTGGCCTGCTGCTCGGCCTCATACAGACGTGCGGCCATGGCGTCGCGCGCCCTGGCGGCCGACTGAGCAGCGGCCTGTGAGACACGCAGGCGTTCCAGCAAATGACGCTCCGGGGCTGGAGGGGGCTGCTGGGACCGAGTGTTATTGGCTCCTCCTCGGGACGCCAGGTGGTGCGAGTCTTGGGTCGTATGTGTTCCATCGCCAAACAGAGTTCGATAGTGGGCCTGGGGGAGGGGGGCGAGGATACAGGGGAAGCGAGAGAGAGAGAGAGAGAGAGAGAGAGAGAGAGAGAGAGAGAGAGAGAGAGAGAAAGAGAGAGAGAGAGAGAGAGGGATGAATAGACAGCCAAAAAAAAAGAAAGGGAGGAAATGTGTGAAGAGATGCAATAATCGAAGTGGCACGAAAGAGGGTAATGGAAGAGAGAGGGGAGGAGAGAGAGAGGCAGATGGAGTAGACTGGCGGGCGATGCGCAGGAAAAAGGCCGTACCTCCATGGCATCGCGTATTGAGTTCAGCACTTGGATGATATCATCCTGGTCAGTGTCGCCGGGCCCATCGGCCGGAGAGGACGCCGATCGCTGAGCATGTGCCACCAGCGCTTCCTCCAAGATGCGAATGCGCTCCAGGAGCGCGTGTTTCTCACGCTCAAAGGTCTTCACGCGAGTTAGCATCCACGGATGTCGAAATGCCAAGCAATGGGCCTCCTACCCCCCCCCCCCCCCACACACACACACACAGTTTATGGTTATGGGGGGCTGGGAATTGTGGCGTACCTCGCGCCCATGCACGGCCGTCAGGCCACTCGAATGGCCAGCCACAGAAGGCGAAGAGCTGGTCATGTCATTGTTCAATGACGCTGGCGCCGGCACACCGACGGCTCCGAGCGGCTGTGGGCGAGATCGCGGGCTCGGGGTCTGCGGAGAGTCCAAAGACAGGAGATGGTCCAGCAGGGGGGAGCCACTGGTGTCGCCGGGGGCCTGTGCATCGGAGCCACGTCGGCTGGCGGCGATCGTGTCCCCTGGCAGGAGGGGATCCGCCGCCTCGGACACCGAGCGCAACTGCGACAGGCTGTCCGTCAGAATACGGACGCGTGTCTCAAGCGCGGCACAAGTTGCTTGCGATTGCGTCAGCAAGAGGGACTGCACGCGGTTACGGGCGAGGGAGAGAGGGAGAGCATGCCACCACACACAATGGGAGTCAGTTCCGGGGCAGGGATGTGTGAGGGAAGGGGAGGCAAAAGGGAAAAGCCATGACATACCAGGGAGTCAGCACGCTCGCGCGCCTCGGCGGCCTGATTCTGAAGAAGGTGGATCCTGCATGGCCGGGGAGTGGGTGAGTTGCCTGTGGGGGACGCGGAATGTAACACGGGAAATGGAAAAAAAAGCCCCCCCCCCGATCTCCAATACGCCCTGGCGCAAACGCACATAGAATCCTGTTCGGTTGATGGTGTGACGAGGCGATCCCTATGGCCGGCCGAGACCGGGGTGTCTGCCGTGGTTGCCACGGATGGCGTCCCGCCGAGCATGCCAGAGGCCCCGTCGCGCGATTCCCCGAGCAGGAGCGGCGGGTCAGAGGCCAAGCTGTCCGTCACCAGCAGCGGAAGCCCGCTGCCAGTCCCGGAGAGGACGCCCTGGAAGACGCTGTTCAAGTTCGGCCGCGGCGAGGCCCCCAAACTCAGGACCCCAGAGGAGGGATGGTGTGCGTGCTGCTGATCTTGCAGGCGAGCCGACGTCGCAGCCAGAGCCTCGGCCCGGGCGCGTGACTGCAATGCCAGCTTGCGAGATGCGGCCTCACTTTCCCGAGCCAAGTTCAGCTCGCGCAGGAGATCTGATCGTGTTGGTGATGGTTGCGTCAGGGAGGGCGAGGATGTACGGACAGGGCAGAGGGATGGCGGCCATCAGGAGAGCGAAGATTGGGAGAGGGGGACAAGGAGAGGGGGGCGAGAGGAGGGCGGGATGAAATACTGCGACCATATGTATCGCACCCTCGATTTGGGCAGCCTGGGCGCCGACTTCCCCTTCGAGGGCCAGTACCCGTGCCGCCTGCGTGGTGGCTTGCTGCTGGGCCTGATCGACCGCCTCGCGAAGTTGCTGGCACTCGGTCTGGTATTGTTGCATTTGGCCGGTCAGCTGGTGGTGATCCGTGGCCAGAGTGTTGGCGCGGTCCCTTTCGGCCTGCAGGTCGGCCTGCAAACGACCAAGCACCTCGTCCGACCGGGTTTCTAACAATTGATTTAGGCGGGCGATCTCAGCCTCTGAGGTCCGGCTCCGAGCATGATGCTCCTTCATCTGGCCAGCCGCCGTAGCCAGTGCCTGGCGAAGCTGCGCCTCCCGTTCAGCCAGCTGCATGGCCTCGGCTTGGAGCTCCTCGTACGCCTGCTGCGAGAGGGCCAAATCTTGCCGGGTGTCGGCGCAGGCCTCCCTGCTGCAGGGGCCGGACGTGGAGGCCGCTGCTGCCGCGACTGTCTGGCGGCGAAGGTGTTGGACCTCCTCCTCCAGCTGGGCCGCCCGTGCCCGGGTCTCGGTCAACTGGTCATCCAGCTGCTGGTGTTGGCTGGTCAGCCGGACAATCTGCGCTTCGCGGCTGTCTAGCACGCGCTGCAGACCGGCACGCTCGCGGTCCACGGCCTCTGCCACGCTGGCCGAGTGCGGAGCATGGTGGGACCTTGAAGGGGGAGCCTTCAAGGGGCCTGGCATTGGCTCAAGGTCGCTCACATTGGAACGATCGGCCACATGGGTGGCGGTGATGGTCGGCGAGCCGGGGTCCAAGAGCTCGGCGACCGGCTCCACCTCTTCAACATCCTCATCGGGGCTGGATTCCACAGCCGATGGACTTGCCGGGTTGCTTGAGGTGTCGACTTCTGAATCGGCCAGCTCCTTCGCGGGGTCCAGCGGGTCCAGGTCGACCGGTGTGCTGGCCTGGGCCACAGAATCCGCTGTTGACAATGTACTCTCTGAGGCTGAACCACCTGTCGGGGAGGCCGGCGAGCTCAAGCTTCCTGGGGTCTGGGCATGGACGGGCGGTGTTGCACCAGCCGACACGGAGTCGAGTGCGGCTGATACCGTGGCATCAGCCGCAGCCGCAGGACCACCATCAGTCGGGAGCTTAGAGGCAGCCCCACTGGGACCCGGTCGCATTGGGCCCGAGGATGAAATATGTGGAGGAGGCAATGCGGCGGTGGACGCCGCTGCTGGGGCCGGGGCGGGGGCCGGAGCTGGCCGCGCACTTGGGGCGTCTTCTTGAATGTCCAATGCCCGGTCGATCGAGCGCTCCATCTGTGCTTTTTTCCCCCCCCGTCCGCGCCATGAGAAAAATGGGTGAGAAAGGCATGGCGGCGATTATTCTTCCCTGGCCTCGCCTCAAGGAGACCGGTGATGGCGACAAAAGGGGGCGGCAGTATTCCGGGAGCGCACTCGCTGGGCAATGCCCGAAAGGGTATCGAGGACGGAAAAGGAGCCAGAGAACATGCTGATACTTTATGGAAGAGGAGCGACCGGCAGGAAGACGCCGGGCCGCGCGAAAGTCCACAACACTGAGGCGAGCGGCTTTGGATGGGATGTGAGGGGGGGGGGGGAATCGATGTGCTGGCGGGGTGTATCTGTGCGCGAAGCTTCCAGAGCACACAGGCGTATATGTGTGTATGTTGGGTGAGCGAGGGGGGGAGGGAGGGGGGGGGGGAGGAGGGAGGAGGTTGTCGAGCACGTTGGGCAGTGGTCGAGTTCTAGTGCCTGAAAAGGGGCAGGCCACACCCTCTCCGACGCGGGGGAGGCATCCGGGATTTTTGCCCTCCGGAGGAACTCGCACCGCCACACATCCAGGCAGAAGGAATTAATCGCAAATGGGGGGCGACTCTTCAAAGTGCAGGGGGGATGCATGAAGCCCAGTTGGTCAGATTGCCCAGGCGGGGGATCTGTTTATTGCCCAGAGCTGCCGGCTGCTGGCATCACCGCGCAAATGCGCGCGACCTGCAAGGGGGGCCCTCATTCGGTCATGGCAGCTCGCCCACTCACATCCCCGCCAGTGCTCGGGCAGGCCCCCGCATCGCGCAAGGTCTGGCCGCAGAACTGGGCCCGGGACTGGGTGAGGCCGCTGCCGGGGCGCCCCGATCGGTGTCACGAAGGGCACGTGCCTTTGCCCGATGATCGAATCACATGCGCGGTCAACTTTGATCGTGGGGTGTTTCCCCAGAATGTGGGTCGGGCTCCGGTAGACCGCCTCCTCGGGTCCCGGCCCCATTCCACAGGGGACGCCCAGCCGCGCCGTGTCTTCGCCTAGCCGAGGGTGGGGAAGGGGGACTCGCGAGCCGAGGGAGATCCCAACGCGGGGTTCGATGAAAGGTGAAGTTTGGTCCGCACGACTCCCCCTGCCCCCCCCCCCCCCCGCCGCCACGTTGCCTCCTCCGGGATCTACAGATGCGTTGCGGCTGCGATCGTCATCGGTCTCCTTTTGACTGGCCAGGAACGGGGCCGGCCCTCGCTGGTCGGACCGGGGGGGGGGCATGTACTCTTGACGAGCGCAGGCGAGCGATCCAAACTGGTATCAAAAAGAACGGGGCCATATAGTGGCCCCTGAATTTCGAACTTCCTCATGCGAGATTTCTTCCCCGTGAGTGGATGCTTGTGGATCGCCGAGATGGATTGCCTGTGTGTGTTTGTGTGTGTGTATGGAGGGGGGATGATCTTCTCTGATCTCCAGGCTTCATAATAATGGAACTGTTGGAGTTTCTTACGCGCAGATGCCCAGCGATTGGGCATATGCATACAAAGTTCTAAACGAAACGAAGGGCGAGGGGGTGGTAGGAAAAGCGAACGCCGGGGCTGTGCCCGACGCAGGCACACCGTGACAGAGCGGCACACTCCCGTTGTTTACGAAGGCCGAGGTGATCGATGTCGAATTCCGCATTTTGACCCCCCCCTCCCCCCCTCGAGCAGAGCAGAGGACCGCCGGGGGATGGGGGGGGGGGGGGGTGGACTGACTCCCTGGCCCTGGATGCGGTCTGTGCATCCCGGAAATGTTCATGGATTTGTGGTTGGATGTGCCGGTGTATCCTCTCCTTGCCCGCCCACGACGGGTGTATGCCTGTTTCGTTTGTCATTCTGTGGTTCCTCGACCGAAGGGCCAAGGGACGAGAATCCCCCCTTCTCCCGGCTCTTGTCCCCCCCCCCCCCCCCCATACCCCCACCCGTCGACTCTGGAAAGCATCTTTGGAACAAGATTCTCCCCCTGGGGGGTGCAAGGGTGTACTTGGTTCCGGTGGTGGGCCTGACGCTCGCCTGGGAGATATCTTCCCCGCCACCCCACCGCACGGCGCGCCCCGAGCACGCCTCGGGCAGATTGCAAGTGAGAAGTATATAAGCAGGCGGCCCGACGCCCGACCAGAAGGGGCCGGTTATAGCAGGATTACACATACATAATTTAATATTAAGCAAATTGAATTTCTACGGAAGTTTCAATCCACAGTTGTGCGTGTTGCCTGCCCCTCTCTCTTTCTCCCTCTCTCTCTTTCTCCCTCTCTCTCTTTCTCCCTCCCCCCTCCTCCCTCCTGCCGCCGTTTTTTTTCATGCATGCACCCATTTCGCCACTCGCATCCTCCTCTTCCCCTTGTATCTCTATCTACAGCACCTTTGCCAAGTTCCAAGGAGGAGGAAGAGCACCGTGGGCTCTTTTATACCTGCCTCGGTTCATCTACTGCCTGGCGACCGACACTCACATGCTCACATGGTTGTATGTATCTCCTCTTCCCCCGACGACGACCACCTGGTTCCTCGGTCTTGTGTCTGGTGTTTGGCTGGATGGCGTCTGCCCGCCGCCCTATCTCATGAGCAGACCCTCCCCCCCTCTTTTCTAAACCACAACACATTGTATCAGTGACATTCGAGCGACCTCTCGGTGCGTCGCCCCCGTCCCCCCCCATCTCTTGCTTCCAATACTATTGGGGCAGCCCCATATTCTCATGCACCGGAGATATGTTGCTTTCCCTCGCGGACATCCTCAATCTAATTCCCTTTCCCCCCCCCCCCCCCCCCCCTGCTTTTGGTATCCACCAAACTACCCACACCCACACATACACTCGCCCCTATCTAGAACCACCCTCCCCACCCCCCTACAACAGAAGTATCAAAAGACAATTAGCAAGTCTCCAGAAAGGATCTTCCTTCCCTCCAAAAATGAGTTCACAGCACTCGAGAAACTTCGACTCCTCCGGGACCTTAAGCGAGTCGCCCTCCGGCAACCTCGCGTCATCGCCCCGGAAGAGCCAGCAGCCGGCGAAGCCCGGCGCGGCCGATGCCGGGCCTCCCCGCATCGACTACATGTATAAGACCACTCACTCGAAGATGAAGTTTGCCACCCATGTGGCCGACTCCGACGACGACTCGAAGTCCTACTCGGTCTCGCGCATCATTGAGACCCGGGTCATTGAGTCGGCCCAGGGCTCCCCCCGTGGTATGACTGCTAGCGCGGTCTTCCCCAAGGCGGCCCCGATTTCCCCCGCGACCATGCGCACCGAGGGCCGTCAGCAGCAGCAGCAGCAGCAGCAGCAGCAGCAGCAGCAGCTGCCCGCCGCTGCCACCCCCCCCAAGCAGTCGTCTCCAAAGGCTGCCGGGCCGAAGATCGGCGGAGCCATCGATGCCAAGGCCGCCCAGCTGGGCACAAAGGCTGCCCGTCTGGCTCAGCCCATGATCCATGCCACCGGCCCCCTGCCCGACTCCTACCTGTCGTCGGTCAGTATGGCCGATTGCCACAATGATTCATTCGGCAATGCGGCCCGCCTGCGCGAGGAGCAGGAGCACCAGCGCCAGTGTCTGCGTGATGAGATCCGCCGGACCGTCCTCGCGACCACCGGCGGGTCCATGCCCACTCCCACCTCCATGGCGTCGATTGTCAACTCCACGCCCAGTGTGGAGCCTGCTCCGGGCACCTACAGGTTGGCGGCCCGGACCACCCCCCCGGCGGCCGGTGATCACGCTCACATCCAAGCCGCCACGTCCAAGTGGCGTGCCATGGTGGCCGAGAGCTCGCGGGCCCTTCAGGCCTCGCCGAAGGCGGCCGCCCGGCGGAGCGCCAGCACCGCTTCCCGCCGCCCTGCGGCAGCGGCCGCTGATGCCTTCAACTTCGTCAAGTCTTCCGAGGTACGTCACGCAGCACATTGGCTTGGGGTTTCTCCTTGTCCCTCTCCCTCCCTCCCCCTTGTGTGAAATGTGGGTGCCTTTTTTTTGGAGGCTGTTTAGAGGGGAAAGCACTGATGAGGCTGCCGAGCGCATCTGCGAGCATGTGGCGTGTGTGTGTGTGTGTGTCGGTGTGTCGGTGTGTCGGTGTGTCGGTGTGTCGGCGTGCCTGTATGTGTCCTCGTGTGTCCTCTGCCCCTGCCCCTGCCGCTGCCCTGATCGACTCTCGGCGGCGGGAGAGGGAGTGGCCGATGCACATGTCGTCCATATGTGCACACATCTTCTCCGATATGGCGTTGCACACACATACGCACATACACACACACACACACACACACAGTCTCTCGTGTGCTCGATCTCCTTCTCCCCGCCTGCCTCTCTCTCTCTCTCTTTTTCTTTCTTTCGCGCCCTCTCCTCTCATGCGAGAGACAGACTCCCCAAGCTCTGCCGCTTGATGTGCGGGGCGACATGTCGCGCCTTCCGCGTGGCGCTTGCATGTGCGTGACCGCGCGCACCACTGTCCATTGACCTAGAGGAGGAGCGTCTCACCCGGTGGCGTCCGCACAGACACGGCATGCCTTTGGGCGTGCTTCTTGCGGACAGGGTGAGATCCCTCACCTTGGCAGGGGCTCTGTCGTGTGTCGGGTTTGCCTGTGCGAGCGCGCCACAAAAGCGAGGCGCACATGCCTCTCCCATGTCTGTGTCCAGGAGCAGGGAGGATGTGTTCCATGTGAGACAAGTGGGAGACGAGAAGGCGAAAAGGGGCGTCCACAGAGAGCGCTCCCAAGGGGGGAGGGAGGGACAGGAGGCGCGATAGTTAAAGAAAAGAATTGGGAAGTGGATTGAGGAGGGAGATGGAGAAGGGCGAAGGGATGGCCCCCCCTGTTCTTCTCCGTTCCTGTGTGTATGTGTGTGTGTGTGTGTGTGTCTGTGTATGCGAGTGAGTGCGCATGTAAGTGTGCTTGTGTGCAGTCGCGGTTTGGCCAAGGGGAGGGAGGAAA